TATATTTTGTAAATTATTGATTTTTTTTTTTTATCAGATCTGATTAGCACTAAGGGCTAATCACTAAGTGGCACAGAAATTTCCCACAAACCTCTGGACACCCAGGACAAACTGAGTCACATGCCTATAATAGGGTTGAGAAGAATGTGATGATAAAGTCCACCCAGTTCATTAGCCCAAAGAAAGTCACCAACAGCAGGATGGTCTGGGTGGCCCTTTCCTCTGGGAAGGATCTTTGGGGGAGGCTAGAACTGTGAAGGTGCTGGGATCTCCTCTGATGCCTGAACAAGAGAATCATTTGAGAGCAGCATGATTCCTACAAAAGAGACATCCCTGTATAACATCAGAGTGAAAAACACTTCCCTGATGATGGAGCTCATGGGGAAAAGTGAGCAGTATTTATTGGCATTTAGTAGATTGGTCTGGGTCACATTGAAAGAAGCCACAGTGTAGAAGATCAGGTTACTACTGCAAGACAAATTTAGAAACCATAAGAAAAAGAAAACAAATAATGTAATTAGTTAATTTGTTTAAATCTCACCATCCAGGAGGTGCTGGTGCTGATGGAGATGGCTTGGAACATGCTTGTGAGTCAGGTGGTGCAGATGGAGAGGCCCCTCAGCACCCTGCTTATGTAGAACAACACCTTACACTTGAAGTCATTCTAAAAATTGAGCGATTCAAACAGATCTGGAGACACCAAAAATGCTATGATGAGGAGCAACCCTATGTGGATGAGGGCCAAGTGACAGATGATCATGTCAATGAGCTTAGGCCTGTGATCCAGAAGGAGGGTGAAGATACAAAAGAAAAGGAGAAATGTGTTGGCTTAGACTGCAATGGCAGCTTGGAAAATAAGGCAGTAGTTAATAGCAGCAAAAGTAGATAGTGATTTCATCTTATGTCAAAGAGGAAACATTTTTTTGTCTGAAGAATAAAATAGAACTTACATTATCAATGTTTTTTTCTTTCTTGGTCAAAATCATTATCATCATCATCATTATTTTATTTTACCCAATTATTCTTGATAAATTCTGAATAACTCTTATGTTTTCTTCAAACTCCAGCTGCAGTAATATATATGTATATATTTTCTTTTTTGGGACCTGTAAGGGGATCGCAACCCTTGGCTTGGTGTCGTCCACACCGCGCTCAGCCAGTGAGCTCACTGGCCATCGCTATATAGGATCCGAACCGGCATCGGGAGCGCCGCTGTGCTCCCAGCACTGCACTCTCCCGAGTGAGCCATGGGGCCAGCCCTGCAGTAATAGTTTTTATATATGATGATATTTTCATATATATAAATGCACATACAGACACACATATATACATATATATATAAATTAATGCCTGGGTAAGGTGTCATCTATAC